CACTTTTAGGCTTCTCTTTCTCCTCATTGTAGATTAGTATCATATACCAGAGAGATCGAAGCAGGTTTCCAAATCCCGTTCCTCTCTGCCTGGAGATTTTCTTTCCACCTCCTTCCACTCTTCTTCGACCTTCACTCTGCTCGGTTTTCTCCAATCCTCGTGCTCCGGCCTCTATGAACGTAACATCAACTCCAATTCACCACAATCGTTGGTACCTGCAACTTGAGACAACAATTCACCGGTCGTTTATTTTGTCGCCATAGCTTGATAGCCTCACCGGATTGCCGCACTCCTTTCCGACGAACGAATTCTGGCAAAAGGTAATATCTCCGGTCCTCCTTAATTCACCTGTCATTGTCACATCCGGCTTAATTTCTAACCTTGTAAGTTTCTAACCTAATTTTTTAAAGTCAATCTCAAATTAGATAAAATTTGACTATCTCAAGTTAACCTAACATTTATAATCTCATGAAAAATATACCTCTGAGTAGTGTGAGGAAAGTGAGCTCTAATTAGAACCTTCATCTTGTTTCGTTTGGCTAGCTCGAATTTTATCTTCACTGGTGATATTGGTGGGATCCAGCAGATGATGCATGCAAGTAAGTTTATGTATGTTAGTTATTGTATCTGCATAGTGTTTGTGATATCAGTGAATGAGAGATCTCAAAGTAGGCTGTGGTGGCTAATTTGATTCAATGACACGGGGTAGACACTCTGACTTTTCGATGCCTTTGGTTGGTTGTTGCAACTTGTTCAAATTTCAACAGCTATCGAGTTGTATTGATTATCTTCTGTATTTATGTGTTTTCCTTCTGATCTACCTTTTTTTCTTTGCTCAAAGTTTACTCGATGATGTCCCTGTATTTTACATATGCTAATGATGGTTGCAAGTTAAAGAACAACAACTATATATGCACTACATGACATGAAAACTTTAGCAAGAGATTTCTATTTTGACATAGAAAATGCATTCAACATTGAATGAAAAGAACTCCACCTCCATTCATGAAATGGCTTTGCCGCAATGGATGCCAGAGGGTCCACAATGTTTTTTCCTCCAACCTTGAGCAATTTGTGTGAACAGATTATGATGAATTTCCACTATGCTTATGGCCTTGAGCTTCCTGCCTTTGCAAACTATAAATGTGGAGATAGGTAGTTGATGTTTATGGGGATAACCATGGATAGTGTGTGCCTATGTGCAGTGGTAGGATTTCTCAACTGGAATCATCACTAAATGATTTATAACTCCAACATATCACTTGATTTTTATTTGTGTCACAGTCTTTGTTCTATCTTCCATTTGTCATAGCTAATGCACTCAACGTCAGACTTAATGATGGGTATAACATGGTTCCCAATGTCTTGAATGTCAGTTTTATTCTTCTTTGTTTTCATTTTTCTTTTTCTTTTCTTTTCTTTTCTTTTTTGGCACTAATCGATATTTTAATTTTAAAATTTTCCCGAACAATATTGAAAACACATGCAGTAGTAAATGTTTTTTATGTAAAAGTTTTAGCTAGTCTTTTCTAACTTCAAATTGTGAGGATAACAATCATTAGGGTTTACAACAACACTCACCTACTGGATAATCACCCAAGTAAAAGCAGCCACCTGGAACCCATCCATTAAAATTCATTGCACATGCAGAGAAGCAATCTTCAGTTTTACTACAGTTTGATTTCTCACACCTGCAGTACAGATTTGCATTGGCGAACGCATTTTCGTGAGCCTTTGATGATGAACCTTGTTGTGATATCACTATATTGGCAATGCATAGAATAGCTATTAAAGTATTGATGTTGGATGCAAAAGCATCGATGAAAAGAATGGTTCATTCTTTTGAAATTTGAATTGTTTCACAATTTTACAGATATGATTTGTTTTGTTTTTTCTAGGATAATGTGTACATTTCCAATTTTATTCCTCATTTTCTACTAATAATTTGTTATACAGTTTTCAATATGATACACTTGTGTTGTTATTTGTGGCAGTTTTTGCTATCAACGGGTGAATGGAGACAACTAAAAAACTAATGGATTGTGTGTTGAAATCCATTAGTGGAAGAAGAATGTGAAGAAGCAAGATTAAATGATGTAATGCAGAGTAGATATATGTAATAAATAGAGTTAACAAGTTGAATTATATACTTATTGTGACACTTTTGTATGTTGTTTTTGTTTCTTATTGTTGTATCATGTGTATTACTTTTTGTTGCATCATGTTTCTTCTTGTTGCAACATGTTGTTTTTTGTTGCATCGTGTTGCTTATCATTGTATTGTGTTACTTATCGTTGTTTTTATTGATTTAAATTTTTTCATTTAGGTTTTTATTACCTTTGCGACTTCCTTAAAATCAAAATGTCTCTGTAGATTTCTAAACAAAAACCTAAATAATCAATTTATATTTATGAAAGTAAACAACAACTTGAAACATAAAGAAACAACAAAAAACAAAAATTTCATAATTTTAAACAAAAAGAAACACATAGAAACAATAGGCAACAAAAAAAATACTACGTAATAAAATAATAATTAAATAGTTTAAGTTCTGTAAGAAAGATTACATAATTAATTTCGTATTTTTTTATGTTTTTTCAAGTTCATTATTTTAATTTTTCATATTTTTATTCATTCATTTTATTTCAATGTTAATGTTTTTTTAGGTTGCATTAATTTTCTAATTTTTAAAAAATTTATGTAATATATTTTTATTTTTTCCACTGTAATATAAAATTTAATTTAACTTTTCGAATGAATTCAAATTTTTATATTTATTTGAATCTTATTTTCTTTAATATGTATATTTTCCAATTTTTTAAAATAATTATTTTTTTCATAAAAGATTCCGATTATTATTCTTATTATTTAATATTTTCAAAATATTTTTATCTTATTTTACGTATTTCTAAAACTTTTAAGGTTATCATTTTTTTAAAACTATTTTATAATTTTTTATAAAAATTTTGATTTTTATATTTTATAAAATAGATTATATTATCTAATTACAAACACTACATTAAAAAATATTTCTCAAGTTTTTTAATTTAAGATTTCTGCATGTTTATATTTTTCTAACTTTTTTGTAAATTTAAATTCATTTTCTTTAATTTTTAAATGTAATTTACAATATTCCAATTTTGCATTTTTTTGGAATTTTATTTTGATTTTAAGTTTTTTATTTTTTTAAAATCAATTTTTTTTTTTAATTTTACTATTTTCTAAGCATTATCAACTATATGAGTTAATGAATTTTTTATATTTTCAACTTATAAATAAAAAGTTGAGTGAGTCCTTTGTACTATTTGTGAACAGGGGGGCAGTGATTAATCTTTACGTGAATAAGTGCACGTGTGAGGAGAAGAAATTTGAGTTAGTGGGCTTTACACATGCGGATGGTCCATTTCTGAAAAAAAAAACTTTTGAAGTAGTCTTTTTTGAAAGAAACTCTTAAGGGTGACAAAAGTGATATAACTTTCACTTTTTTGTCTATTTGTGAAAATTTCCCAATATTAATCTAGAACTTGGATCATCCATTATAGGCTACCTCTTATTTGTCTTTTCAACTTATTCAAAAAAAAAATATCAATGGATTAGCTAATGAAGTTTAGTTATTTAACATAAACACGATGACTGCCATACGATGATTGTCATAATTCATCATATAATGAACTTTAACGAATTACTACATATACTCCGTAATAATTTATGTTAATGGTATATTATAAATTTTAGTATAATCAAGCTTGTCCCAAGTTGTACGAGGGCTTTGTGCTACTTACTATAACTAGGTCTTATGCACAATAAAGAAATTGCGCAATTGTAATTAACAGTTACATTTTAATTACCTATAAATATTACTACGTACTATTTAATGTTTGTAATTAAAAAAAAAACTAAAATAGGAACCTTTAGTCAAATAAAAAATGATTTTGTATATTATGTAGACTATTTTTAAAATTTTGCACGCCCCTAATCTACGACCCTGAGTATAATAAATTAGTGCATACTTTCAATAAAGTAATTCATTAGTATAATACGTTGTACTCCGTATATAATATAAGAAAATGAAAGTTTGCACTAATTTATTACTTTGCCATTATTATATTTTTCACAAATATCTGTAAGTAGTGGTGGAGCCACACTTGTTCTAAGGTGTTCACATTAACACCCAAATTTTTGTAAAATGTGTAGGTATATATGTGTAAATTTAAATGTAGTTATTTGTTACTGTTAAAATTTCTATTTGTAAAAAAACATTGAACTCCCAAAAATTGAATTACAAATACGTTGATGTCTATAAGTGTAGTTCTTTAATTATATAGTCTTGCTTCCTATGTATGAAAATAAAACATCTAGAGCAATGAGATTCTTCCCTGTAGACCCTGACTAATAAATTAAGCGCATGAAGAAATAAAATATAGAGTAGTAACATCCATATTTCCTAAGAATATCGGAGATCTGATTCATATATAATTTTTTTTCTTTATAATTTTTTTTTTATATTTTTACCTGGTGCTTGTTACAAATAGGGAAAACAGTCAAATAGATCCTCGAACTTTCATAAAAAGGTCAATTAAGTCCTTCTATAGGAGGTTCTGTCCGGCCGTCGCGATTTGGGGCAGTTCTTGGTGGAATTTTTTGATGAAATTTTTTGAGCATCTTATTCATCAAGTCTAGTTTACTCATACCAAATTTCAGCTAAAAAGTCAATCGGGAACACATTCAAATTAATTCTTGAAGATAACTGCGCATTTTTGCGTTCTCGAATTAATTTGAATGCGCTCCCGATTGAAATTTTAGCTGAAATTTGGTATGAGTAAACTAGACTTGATGAATAAGATGCTCAAAAAATTTCATCAAAAAATTCCACCGGGAACCGCCCCAAATCAGGATGACCGGACGGAGTCTCCTATAGAAGGACTTAATTGACTTTTTTATGAAAGTTCGAGGACCTATTTAACAGTTTTCCCTTACTACAAATATGAAATACGTAGTATATACACGTAAAATATGGTAGTTGGTTATTAGTAGTTTATTACAGATAGAATACCAATCCTAGAAGAAGAAAAAGAAGAAGAATACAATGGTAACAGATACCCTAATACTTCGTGCTACGTAGTATATGTATATGTAAAAGAACACAAACTCAAATTGGTTTTGTCAAAAAAAAGTAAATGCAGACATTTGGTCCTTAGCGTCGCCCACTATATATATAGATTGTTCATCATGGTTCCTAAGGCGGTTTCGTCCCCATTTTCTTGCAAGGCTCTTGGCGAGGTCAATATCGTGTCCGAACGAGACACACCTTGAATGTCAGACGACCACTCTTCCGCAACTTTCTCATGGTTGTGAACCCCGTTGACCTTTTCATTGGAGGCAGAATCAGCACCATCATCAAGGAAAAGGCAGACAACAGCACAGTCGTCAACTTTAGAAGCCGGGTGTTTGTTCCTCCATGATCGAATTGCTGCCTCCACCACCACCTTAGCTGCAGATGAACGTGCTGACGCTGAACCCACTATTTCTACCACCTCTTCATTAGATAGCACATCCCATATCTGTGATTATATACTTTAATTAATAATAAACAAAAACAAACAAGTAGATAGACAGGGGGAATCTATTTATGAAAATATAAAAAGGAAAATGATACTTTTAGTTCCCTGAATTATAGACTCAGAATGCTTTTAGTCCACATAGGTATAAAACTAAGATCACCATTACCATTTTTAGTCCTCCAGACACTAAAATAGCCACTTAACTGGAGATTACAAATGGTAATGATAAAGTCTAAAAGCATACGGAGAGTTTGACTGGGGTATTAAAAGTGCAGTTTTCCATCTGAAGAATCAGGAGCAGGATTTATACCCCATCTGTTGCCAAGATAACAAATTCATCTTTGGCTGTTAAGCGTCTGTATGAAACTTCGGGTACAGAGATGAGACCGAAATCCTTGAGACAAAAATCTCCAAAAGCACGTGCCATGGCAAGGCCTGGAAAATCTGCATTCGGTAGCCACACTCTTGTAACCTCAGGCTCGTCATGAAGAGCAAATACGCGTCCTTTACACTTCTGTATCCTCTCTGCTTCCGCTGTTAGATTTAGGAAGGGGAAGTGCAATTTAGCTCTTTTTTATGTTATTTTCTCAACTTATTTGAATAAATTTTTGAAAATTCAGCTTCAACTAAATTCAACCATTTTAGCCCAAATACAGCAAGTCCAGCAAAGTGGAGGAAGGGGTATTCGTGTGATGGATTGATCTCCCATTATCTTTCTTATCTTCTTCTCTTTTTATCTTTTTATTTTATACATAGTCTTTTTATCCTTTTACCTTATCTTTTTATCTTTCTTATCTTTCTTTTTCTTTTGACTCCGATATCATGTATCAAGCCAACCCCAAAATCTTTTTGGATTAAGGGCCTTAAGGCTTGGATGTTGTTGTTTGTTGTTGACAGCAAGTTCAGCAAATGAGCTAATTCGGTAGTCATTTTAAGCCTTACCAAACAGGTTCTGAATATAATAACGCACATTCATAAAGTTCCAGAAAGCATATCAACATGAAGGCAGAAACATGAATACAACATATATCTATACCTGGAAGGTTAGGCTTGAGATCAACAGTCAATTGCACAGCAATAATAGAGTTGCCTTTATCTCTTGTACCCAATATGGCTCTAGAGTCCCCAACATTCCCAATTACAAGATCATGTCCCTGAAAAAAAAAAGAAATGAACTGATAATCATAATGTGTTTCAAGAAAAAGAAAAAAAAAAAAATAGCAAGCAACTGAAGAATCTTATCAAAACTTGTTAAACGCCTAGTTTGCTTATTTACCTGTCTCACAAGAGTTACAGCAGTTGTCCCACTGCTAAAGGAATCAATACTCGCAGTTTTCAATTCTAGATCCATTACGCTAAAAGACGTCAAAAAGGATTCCTTCAGTGTCTGAAAGATATCCCCGCTTGTATGAACTTTGACTTCATCAGTACATAAAAAGGAAGCACTCTCAGAATTTATGCTCCCTTTTGTACTTAGACTCATGTCCATAGGGACATCATCACTTTTGGTACTGACTTCCAAGAGTGCACTTAATTTCAATGGGAGAGAATCCCTCACTCTTTTTGCAACCATATGTCCATAAGGACCATGACCATCAAAGATTCCACAAAAAACAGCACCTTTTCTTGATCCAAAGTTCTGAAATTTAAAAACGATAAATTATCATTAAATTGTGACCAGACCTATTACTGCAAAAATAGGATGATCATATGCATTGAAAAAATAACTCTACCCCATAGTAACTTAGGGGGCGTTAGAATATCTTGTCAGAACTGAATATACTTCTTCAAGGAACACTAAGGAAATATGCTGCCTGCCACATGATTGTTCTGCCACATGAGATTTTACAGGAGGTGCGCTTTTAAAAATGTTCCCATCTAAATCCACACCTACCATGTCCCTCCAGTTTTTTCTTATTTCACCATCGCCTGTCGTCCTAACCTAACAGATTCCAATCTATTTCTTTATATAGGCCGATCAACACTGTATAGAACTAAAGTGAACATTAAGTAAATAATCTATGGTGTATAGCTTTATATGATTAATTAATAGGTAATAGGTAGCTTGCAATCCAATAAAGAATAAAGAATGGGAAAAGAAGAACTGTTACCAAACATAAAAGCAGGCAATGAGTAATACAGAACAATAACCACACATAATGCATACACTATGCTCATGAAAAATCAGAGCTGTTTAATAATAAGTTAAAATACGTGAGGTGCAATACCAAAAACTAGAAGTGAGCTTACCTCCCAAACGAGCATTGCATCCTGGTTATTCCCTTTCCTGCCCTGCTGTGTAAAGAGGGAGGCCACATCACTAGAGCCATTCAAAAACCTTCTCCCTGGAATCCTATGCAACTGGTCTTCCTTCCAGCTATGGTGAAAGGAGGAAGAATGCTTCTTCATAGAGGTCTTCCGCTTCTTCCCAATCGAAGAGGCGGGAGAAGGGAGAGGGCTCCTGCTTCCTGAAGAAGAAAAGCAGGACCCCATATGTACGGCCCTCGCTACATTCAACAAGCACTCCACAACAACACAACCAACCCCTCTATGTTCCCGATTGGGATCCGTTACAACTCTCTTACTGTTATAAATTGATGTTCCTCAAACCCTACTTTCCCAGAACTACCATGAAAAGAGACCAAAAGGTGGGAAGAGAGAATAAACAGATATTTGAAATCAGCCGAAATGTTCACATGCCAATGTTCAGACTTCCAATTATGCTGAAGTAAGCCAAGGTGTACTGAGCAGAGGAAAGAAGAAGAAAATTGAGAAGGGCAAATACAATATTTATGTATATTATACTCCGACGACGAGAATTCTTCAATTTTGGAGAGATTGCAAAAGCGGAGATAATTTATTAAAGGTGTAAGACCGCGAATACAAGTAATGTGTGCTTTATATGCGTTAATACGGAGCGTATAAATAGGTTTCATACGCGTACGTATTGCAAGAGTACGTAGCTTTGTGCCGTACATGCAGAGTAAGCAGAAGGGAAGACGATGAAGAAAGAAGAACCGTGCTGCAAAGCATGACCTCTAATACGCCATTTCCGTCCTTTTCAAGACTTCAAGATGCGAGCGTTGTACGCAAATATTCTTCAACCTTTTTAACAAGAAAAGAAAATTATTGATTTGGATAAGCTCAAACTTTTTGGTATGACAAATCAGCATACTACGTGTTTTTTATTTAAAAAAGAATTGTATTTGCAATTGGTCTTATCTACAACTATGACCATTTTCCACGTATTTATTGGTTTGGCCGTTAGACTGCCTCCAACGTTCTTCCGGTTAATGAAATGTTATGCTTATATATCTTTAATTATCTTCCTATTGAATATTCAGGTGTGGAATATTTTCAATTCATTCAGTATAGTAATTTATAATGAGACGCGTTCATTAATAAAATTTACTATAAAGTCAATATTAACACACGTCTTATATTGACCTGATAGTAGCAATAAAAACTAAAGATAAAATCGACCGATATTGACAACCCCAACACAAGCGGTTTATTGGTTTAATCAATATAATTTATTGCCTTTAGATTATTAATAATAAGACACATGCATTAATAATCCAAGTTTACTGCCGTTGAAAAGACCGAGTGAATAACAAGTGTATTCATCGATCAATCCTAGTAATAATTCATAGAAAAATGCTAGAAGTACAAACGCACTTGCAAAAAACATACAAACAAGTGATGTGTCTATTCTAACTACCATTGATTAAAAGTGTTGTGAATGTGATGTGATGTGTTAAATAATGTGATGATGTCACATACCCCTTTTGTAAGGGTTGTTGTAAGAGTTTTTGTACCTCTAGCATAACTCTAATTCATATATGAAAAAAAATTAATTGATTCTTTAAGTAATGCTGAAATATTATCTTGAGATATAAAATAGGAATGTAATTCATATTCAAAGAATATGATTAAAGAAAATAACTCACAACTTACAAATCATAAGCTTCAATGTTGAAAAATCAAGATAGAAGAGTTTAGTTCCTCATTTGGAAACTACACATACTAGAAAATATAACGAAAATACTTGTCTAAACTGAGCTTAGAAGTATATGAGAATTGGATTTCAAAATACAAAAGAAAAGGGGTGTATTTATAGGTTGTTAGAGGTAAGAGGGTGATGAAACGGTTAGTAACACAGGGAGGGTGAATTGTGTGTGCGTGGAACCGTGGCAGATTTTTGCCAAGTTCAAGTGTGGGGTATAGGGAATTGCGAAATAGTAAAGTGCACAAGGATTTAACGAGAAAAAATCCATTGGCTCAAAGGGATTAAAAAACATCAACCTCCCTCGGAGGAATTTTAACAACTTCACTAAAAAGTCTTTGAATGATTACAAGGGAAACTCTCACAGTCTACCCTTGAGCCACCCCAACTCTATCTTCTCTAAGAAGAGCTATACTTCTCTACCTTGCGGGTAGAGAGCCTCTCGGCTTTACAACAAAGCTCTCATAACACACAAACCAACCCGAGGATGCTACACTTAGTCAATCCCCAAAACCCCATTACAATATGATCGAAGAAGGGAAAGAGGAAACTATATCTAGATCTCCCGTGAGCAGTTTCAGGTGCCTTGAACTTCAGTATTTCTTTCTTTTATGAATATATCTCTCGATGTTTATCCCGGTCAAGCCCACCTGCTCTTCATTTTGATCTTCGATATATATAACTTTACTGTACTGGATGTTGAGATTTTTCCTAAGGTGGTCACACTCCAGTCTTTAAGACTTTCCTTGATATAATTTAAAACCCTTTCCTTTTAGGAAAACTGTCAAATAGGTCCTTGAACTTTCATAAAAGGTCAAATAAGTCCTTATATAGGAGGCTCTGTCCAGCCATCGCGATTTGGGGCGGTTCCCGGTAGAATTTTTTGATGAAATTTTTTGAGCTTTTTATTCATCAAGTCTAGTTTACTCATACCAAATTTCGGCTAAAATTTCAATCGGGAACACATTCAAATTAATTCTTGAAGATAATTGTGCAGTTAAATGCGCATTTATCTTCAAGAATTAATTTGAATGTGTTGCCGATTGAATATTTAGCTATAATTTGGTATGAGTAAACTATACTTGATGAATAAGATGCTCAAAAATTGCATAAAAAAATTCCACCGGGAACCGTCCCAAATCCCGACAGCCGGACATAGCCTCCTATATAAGGACTTATTTGACCTTTTATGAAAGTTCGATGACCTATTTGACAGTTTTTCCTTCCTTTTATTCACCAATCTTCTAGCTCACAATTATTATGATCGTCGGTCAATCACATATATATGGGAGCAAGTGTAGATTATGAGTGGGACACGCAATGATTAGAAAGGAGTATATTATGTGATCAATCATTTAATAATAATTCCACAAAGATAGATATCAATACATATCAAGGGAAGTAATTTATTCAGTTAAATTATGCAAGCATGCAAGGGATCATATTTCAAACCATATGGCAGGAGAATATTTATTTAATAGTTTTTTTTTTTACTCCAGGGGGGTCTGGGCGAGGGGGTTGGGGGGAGGCGGGAGTAATCATGGCTTAAACTCACTTTATTGAGTTCCAAACCCTTATGTGCCTAGCGGGTTTCGAACTCGAGACCTCCCACTAGGCACGGTAACCTCACAACCAGCTGGGCTGAAATGCTTGGTTATATTTATTTAATAGGTATGCACAATCAACTAGCTAATCAAGCAAAGATTCTTTCCATAAATAATAAGCAATAATAATAAGTGGATGTCAAGTCATGCATGGAAAGAGAATAACCAACTCAATTTACTTACATATGGAGTGATCATGCATAGAAAGATATTTTTGCTTAAAATAATATTCATGACAAAGTATAAACACTCATATAAGGAAACCATTTTAATTGAAGATCAAGTTGGTGCAATCAATATTAATTCAAACCATTCCACGGAACTAGAAATGATTCTGTATTTGTTCCACATGCAGGGTTAGTCAACAACACAATAATAATGTCCATCTGGACCTGAGGATCGTTCTATCCTTTGTTCCTTAAGGAACAGTGAGCGGTTCAGTCCGTCATTCTACCTGCATGGTTAGTTATCAACAAAACCATATACTCAACAGATTCTTTCTTTTGAGCTCGGTCTTCTTAAATGGGAAAGATCGGGACTTGATGTACTATCTTTAATAGCTCGGATCTCCACATATATTTCGGTCCTCTTGCATAAAAAATATTCAAAAATATTTCCTTATAGATATTAAAAGATATTCTTTCTATTTGTGTGAAGGAAAATATTTTTCTTAAGGAAACATTCTTTGTGAGAGGTAATGCACGAAAGTCCAATATGAATTTTGAATAACTCCTTTTATTTTGGAAACTTGTTTGTAGAAAGATCTCTTAATTAATGTTTGTGATTTAAATAAATTTGCTTTAAAGAAAAATCATTTCTTTGTATCATCATTGATTATTTCCTTGCTAAAAGGTTCTCTTTAATTTAGCAAGATAGATCCGAAATTAAAAGGAGAGAAAAGATACTTTAAGCAAGCCAGATTAACCAGTTCTATGTTTTGTTCCAGAGCACGACTTAAACTCTTTTCCTGCAATCACTTATAACCAAAAGTAACATTAGTCATTTGTCATCAACAAAACAATATGTTCCAACACAGGGTCTAGTACCCGACCGGGTATATAGGGTACCGATCGGCTACATTAGGCAACCAGAAGGTGTTGAAATCACATCCAACCCGACTGGGTTGAGTACCAACCCGACCGGGTTGAGTACAAATCAGATTTTCCATTTTCTTTTGATCTTCGACACGTCTTTTTGTTTGATGGCAACTCATACCCAACCGGGTTGAGTTCAAACTCGACCGGGTTCGAGTACGTAGCTTTCTAGTTGCTTCACAGTCAATTCCAACTCGACTGGGTTATGCTCCAACTTGACTGGGTTATGTACCAACACTTAAACTTATGTTTCTTCTTCCCTTCCTTTGGTACCTATAATACACCCTTACATCCCTTTTACAACAAAATACACACAAGAAATACAAATTATATCCTATAAAATGAATCTAAAGAGTACATTACAAACTCAACTAAACAAGTAAAAACAACAAACAAACAATAATAAAATACTCCCTCCGTCCCATTTAAAGGTTCTCGTCCACTATTCTTTAGTCAACGTGCATTGTTCTTAATCTCTTACTTTATATATTCAATTTTTATCAAATTTAATTGTTCTTGAACAGGTTTAATAGAACTTTTAATGTAGTTTCTAAATGTGTAAATTTTATTTACTAAAAAATAATCTTATTAATGACAGGGATCAGTTAACATTATGGTAAGTCAAACATCGTAAACCGCGTGAGAACCTTGAAGTGGGACAAAGGGAGTAACAAACTTATGCACTACGAAATAGTGCATATTAGAATGCCTTTCTGGCAAAGTTTGAGGACCCTTCTCTGGATGACGAAGAAAGGGTGTTGGCTGAACGCTTTGCCTCTAGCGGCACTCAGAGTCTTCGGACGCTCGTGATTACTGCTACAATAATGCAGGATGCAGGGATAGGTAAGTCACCCATGAGTCGTCCGAGGTGTGTGGATTATTCTGTTCTTGTGTTTTACCAATCCATTCCCTTCCTTCTTTGCAAGTGTTTACTTCGCTCTTCCTGAAATGGACCGTAATACCAGGATTCCATCGAAGTCGGGTGGCTCACAGAGCAGCCCCATGCTCAGAGCATTTCTGACATAGGCCCTGCCTGGAAGAAGATGAGGCTTGACTCGGCCCCTCATTCTGTTGAGCAAGTGGATCTTATGAATGATTATCCTCTGGTTCCACCATTCAAAACCAAGGTTCTCCAGGAGCATGCCTCCGGAGGGGATGGCGGTTCCTCTTCGAGCATCATTAAGTTCTTCGGGTTAGTGCCTCGCACGGATTCCAAGGTGTTGTTCGGCCAGACGCCTTCCTCCCTATGGTATTCGATTGGGCTCAAGGTTCCCCCGGAGTTTGCTTCCTGGGAACAACCCGAGGAATTGGTGGAGGGCGACTTGAATGAGTTGACCGAAGGCGATGTGTACTTCTAAAGGTCCGAACGGCGTTTGAGCTTCAGGCCATGCATATTGAAAAAATTAAGA